TCTTCAAATGTTCCCCATTACAAGAAATGTTCCCAGCATGTAATCCAAGCCACATCCTTGGATTTCTCTTATTCCTTCCATTTTCAGCTCTATCAGCCAGTCCTGTTGTTTCTGCCTTGAAAATAGATGTCCAGTCTTCCACTCAACAACTCCACCACCATTCATCTCATCAAGTTCCTGTGATGTCATGATACTGAAGCAGCCTGCCAAGGTCTCCTGATCTGTATATTCTTCACTATCATTTAGAGTAATCTTTTTGCAATGTCAACTCTTTTCTTGAACCTGTCTGATCACTCCCAGAGTTCTCTTAGCTTCCTAATGACTCTGAACCTGGATGCCAACTTTATTTTGTATTCCTCTTTATCTTGCCTTCTTGCTGCTCTTTGAAGTTGACAGGCCCATTGCATTTTCAGGCCTTGGTGTCTGTTGCCCATGTCTGGGTCTCTGATATCAGGTAAAGCTGGGATTCCAAATGAACAGTCAAACCCAGATTCAGAGCTCAAAACCACTGACACCGCTCACTAACCCCATCACGCCTATCATAGTATGTAACACTGATTTGTTTTATTTTTTTTCCTCTTCCACTAAAATCTGGCCTTGATAAGGAAAGGGGCTTTGTTTCATTCATTACACCATGCTGACATATTATTGCACTCTAATATATGTTTGGGAAGAATGAAGCCTTCGCTGCCATCTGTGGTATGATGGATCCCCAAAGCCCCAAAACCATATGATGTTGCAGAAAAAAACCTGTGTTAGGAACCAGGGAAACTTCTAGTAAGTAACGTGTGATATAGAATTTTGTTCCCCTGCAAACTTATATACTGACATCACAGCCCCCAGTATCCTAGAATGTGACTTTATTTGGAAATAGGTTTGTTGCAGATGTCATTAGTCAAAATGAAGTCACAATGGAGTAGGGCAGACTCTTTTTTTTTAATGTTAAAGATTAACACTTTTTATTTATTTATTTTTTTATATAAGTTTATTTTTACATCATTTTGTACTTTTTTTAAATCTCAATTGTAATCCCCACAGATTTCCCATCACCGAGTCACCTGTGCGCCATCACCATAGTGAGTAGAGTAGACTCTTAATCTAATATGACTGATGTCCTTATATAAAGGGGGAAATTTGTACATAACCAATGTGAACTTGACATCTGAGACTGGGGTGTTTCATGTATACGCCAGGAACACCAAAGATTGCTAGCAAGTCATTAGCAGCTAAGGCGAGGCATAGTACAAAATCTCTCTTACAGCCCATGGAAGGAACAAATATTGACACCAACATGACCTTGGACTTCTAGCTTCCAGACTTGTGAGACAATGCAGGCAGTGGTTTAAATTAATTGGCCATCCGGTGTGTGGTCCACTAAGACACTTGTGACTCCAGGTCACTGGCTATCTCTGGACTCTAGTTTCTTTATTAGTAGAAAGGACTAGGTAATCTCTGAAAAATCTTTGTTTCTAAAATTATATGACTTTATTATCCCTGGGCTCAAAAATCAACATCTTTCTGGTATGGAAAATCCTAAGCATGGGATTCTTGCACAAAACCACTTAGTTTAGTTGCATTCCACAAAGGTATGGTTGTTCCAGATATTGGGTTGAGCCCTGGAATCTTAATAGGTAAAAGGCATTTGATAGTGCCTAAATCGGTACTATTATGATTATGTCCACTTTATAGATGATAAAGCTGACACTGGGGAGTTAAGTAAGTTGCCCAATGTTACACAGCTAACTGGTGGCAAAGTACTAGATATTCTGGGAGCTCAGGAAAGAGTCTTTATCCTAACTATGGGGATCAGGGAAGTTTCCTATATGGGGACACTTCATCTGACTTTTGAGGGATGAAGAAGAGAACCAGGTTGGAGAATTCTTGGCAAGCAAAACAAGATGCATAAAGCTTGAATTTATAAATGTGAGTTGCTAGCCATCCTGCTCTATCTCAGTTCACAGGTTTCAATATTTATATGATCATTGATTTGATCACTGAGACCTGGAGTCAGAGAGGCAGCAGTGGAAAGGTGGGAATAAAGTTGGATTTACTATTCCCATTTGACAGATTTATAATCCCCATTTCAAAGAAGCCCAGAGAGTAAGTGATAAGATTGTACACTTAATAAATGGAGAAGCTAGGATTTGACTGCAGATCAAAAGGGTCCAGAATCTATCTATAAAAAACCCTCCACTTGGCCTCCATTAGGCTTCCTTCTATGAATTGGGCAGGACACAGAATTTGTTATTCTTTATGCGTACATATGTATATGCATGTGTATGTGTGTGTGTGTATATTTCACTTTAACCCTGACAGTTCCTAAGCCCATATAACTCACCCTCAGCCTCCTATGCATTTTCTTGAGCTCTTGTTTGAGGTTATCTTGCCATAACCTTGGCAATGATAATATAGTAATTTTTGCTTTTACAGTGGAGAGAACAATGTTCTGTCCACCTTTAAATTAGAAGATGGTTATACTTATGGCCTGTTCTAAAACCCAGGAATTAATTTTCTTTTAAATTTACTTTCATGGTGGTTTTCTGGGATCATAACTTTGTATTTTGGAAGGTAAGTGATGAGCAGCACAGCAGATTGCAAGCTCCTGATTGTAGAGTTCTGTCTCACTTAACTCTGATCTCTCTTCTCTTCTCTGTACCTGAACTAGTAACTGACTATATAGAGTATATGATATTTGAAGACAGCTTTTGGGTTAGAGAGTGCTGCTATAGTTTGAATGTTGTGTCACCTCTAAATTCACATTCACTTCAAAATAGTCCTAAAGATGATTGATAAGAGGTGGGGCTCTTGGGAAGTGTTTAAATCTTGAGGGTGGGGTCTTCATGAGGGGGATCCACGACTTTAGAGAAGGGCATCCAGAGAGAGAGAGACCCTAGTTCCTTCACCCTGTAAAGATGCTGGAGAAAACGCCAGTGATAAAGCAGGCAGGGGGCCCTCACCTGAATGTGACCATTCTTCATCTTTAACTTTGACCTCCAGAACTTTGAAAAATAAATTATATAACGTATAATATAGTAATTTTTGCTTTTACAGTGGAGAAAACAATGTTATATATTATATAATATATAATATTATATAATATATAATGTATATAATATATATAATTGGTTTGCTCAGAGTTTTATGTTTGTGTGTGTATTTACATATTTATATATTACTATTATATATAATTATATATGGCATACATAGTTTTTTGTTTGTGTGTATGTATAAAATATATGTGGAATTTGGAATAGAATGAAGTGGAGTGGGTTTGTTCCCCAAAAATTAGAGTAAATAGAAGGAAGTAAAAGATCTAATGCTTCCTGATGGCCAAGGGACTAAGAAAGCCATGAGGACATGGATTTCTCTACCTGAAGAGCAAGGCTTCCCTTCTCATAAAGTAAATCATTGAGATCAACATTACAAAGGTAGCTTTGTAAAGATTATAAAGGTAGAATATTTGTAATAAATGTGTAGAAATTGTCCATTTTATGGTATTCCTATTATCATTACAGATTATATATTTTTTTAAAGATTTATTTATTTATTCGTACAGAACTGGGGTACAGGCCAGAGATGCGGAGGGTGACAGGATTCACCAGAGACAGAGGGGGAAGAAGAACAGGCAGATCTACGAAGTACACTGCTGAGGGGAGCAGCGGGCGGGTCAGGAGAGGTCTGCCTCGCCATGTGGTCGCCTCCGGGGCAGGCAGGAATCCCATGCGGAAGTGGCTTAGTTTCTTAGTGCAGTGCTTTAACCCGCTACGCCACCAGGGAGGGCCCTAAAATTATCCAGGAAGTGGCATTTGTAGTAACACTCTGTTAGTACCAAGACAAGAACCTCAGCTACAAGCATGTTTCTCTTTCCAGAGCAATTCTACACTTGATCACACAGAATTACCTGGAAGAAATTAAAAACAACTGATGCCCTGGATTCTTCCCAAGACCAAATTAAACAGAAATCTAGGGAGTGAGTATGGGACCCAAACAGTAATATATTTTAAAAAGATTTACTCCCCCAGTTATTTGCATTTTACAGCAGGGGTTAAGAACCACCACTGTAGAAACAATGAGCATATATTTATAAGTATTTGCAGTTCTAGTTATGATAAAAGTAATGCTCATGGTCATTCTAGCCAATTTAGTTCTGTCACTCAGTCTGTAAAATCAGAAATGGAGGGCTGTAACTGCACATCCTGAGGGTGACAAAGAGCTGTAAACTCTAGCTCTGCAACCAAAAGATAAGCTGCTGCTGCAATGCTTGCTGACCGTTAACTGGGTTTGCAAAGACATACAGTAACTTTCAGTTCCCTGAGTGGAGTTCACCTTGATCAGGTGGTTCATCTCTTACTAGTTCACAAACCACTTGCTGTGGTTAAAATACCATAGCCTATCTATGGATTCTTATTAGCAGCCTTTCCCACATCCCACCCTTACCCCAACACACATTTCTCAGAATTAAATTTCAACATTTAAGTATTTTGCATATGTTATTTAGGTAGTTCTTTCCAGAAAGAAAAGCACCTGTATGATCAACAGGGGACTCAAGGAGATCTGAGATTGTGAGTCAACCAGGGGGCTATGGATTCTGATTTATAACTCTTTAAACCTCAGATTCTTCATGTGTCAAAGGAATGGATGAGACTGCTGATTACATTAAACTAATGTTCTATGATTCTGATTCACTTTTCTTGAGGACCCAGTAAAGTTGGAGATACCATTTATTTATTGAGAAGATTAAACTCTTTAAATTCTTAAAGCACTCATGTTTGTTTGTTTAATAATTCACCACCTCCCTTTCTGCCCCACTGCTCTGGGCAAACAGTTGCTTTGAAAATGTGAAATGTTCCAAGTTAGGGGACTTTCTGGACACAGATTCTGAAACTGACCAGGCAAAGTTCTTGGTTTTCTTTGTGGAGTAAAGAAGGAGAAAAGAGAAAAAAAGACCAGCTTTTAATACATTAGAAATAAGTATGAAATAATTGGGCCTACAGTGTAATCTAATCATGCTTTTGTTTATTCACCTCATATAAAAGTTTCTTAAGAATGCATCTGAGCACAATATAGTATTACACTATAACATACATTGTGAGAAGATTTGAAAACAATAAAATGTCCACCTGAAATAATGCAGTGTTTATAGTCATACAAACCCATTGGTCATGCACATTTGTGCCATTTCTGTAACTATGGAGCCACAATGCTGAACTGAAAGCATGAAACACCTTTTACAAACTGAGACTGAAGTCAGTGAGAGGCCTAAGTGTTATCAGAAGCTTCACATTTGTGTAATTTACTACATCAGTTCACATTGTATTATAAGATTCACATTGTTTTATTGTTTTCTTTTGTAATTAATTGGAACATGAGTTCCTGCTTAATGGCAGGCAGAAGGTTCTCGCTTAAAGTCAGTAGTTTGGGAACACTCAAAACCATCTGTGAGCAAATGTAGTGTTGTTGCTTTTAAACCAAAACCACAATTATAGTAGAACCCCATTATAACCCAACTTATGTGTACACAGATTTGAATAGAACATGTGTAAAAACCATATCCCTCTGCCCCTTACCCCTATCAAACTATACAAAAGTAAAAGCTCAGTATAAACCATTTAGTATTTAATGTGAGAATCCTGTTTCCAAAACCATTTCATAAAGGGGTTGAGCAGTATTTGCGACTCAGAGAAAAGGGCAGACTCCAATGAAAGCCACGGGTGCCCTCATATGAAGGGGCCGTATGTCTCTCTGTGTGACCTTCAGGTTATATAATACACAATACAAAACGTTACAAGAAAAGTCGCAACTCTTAGGCAGAGTTTTCTACACAAATGTAACACCACCATTGGCAGGCAATGTTAGGTATATAAATTAATAACTTACAAAACATTACATTATATACATGAAGTAATAAATACACCGTTACAAACAGAAATGGAGGTGTTAGCATGGTAGGCAGTGCAAGAAAAGACGGCAGCATTAAATTGAAAACAGTGTGATCAGGTGTGAGAATGAAGAGTTGGGGGCAGGCAAGGGGCCACAAGGCGCCCCATTGCAGAGGGGTTTAGGACACATCAGGGCACAGGGCCTAAGTTAGTTAGGAGTTTACAGACTCTTGACTGTGACTGGCGGGATGGTCCTCTCTTCTCACTCAGCTTCAACTTTATTCTGTTACAACAAAAAAGTGACTCTAGAGGAGAAGAAATTCTGCTCAGAGCAGGCTGGAGAAGTTACAAAGAGCTGGGTGGGACACTAGGGGTAGAATGTGGTTAGATGTGTATCCTTTCTCTTTGCAAAATTCATGTAGTAAAGTGAAAGATATTGCCCAAGAAAAAAGGAAGACTGTTTTCTTTCCTTTTTTTTTTTTCTTCCAGAAAGACTCAAAAAGATTATGTCAACTTTGAATACTTATCTGTGGAGAAGTTAATACTAAACTCTTGGTATTCAACAGGTATTTTAAAGACGTGAAAATGTTTTACAAAAAAGGCACAAGGGTTGGCAGACAAGAGGACAAGGTGAGCAGATTTGTAAATGAAGTTATTAGTCAGTCAGTTCAGTCACTAACAGGGACAGAGTCCCAAAACTTAGTGCAGAAAATCTCTCAGTTTTGTGTCTCCTGTTTTCAAGCCACTTAGTTGTAACCCTGTACTTGGCCTCCAATACCACATAAAGCTTCAGCTCCCCACCAAGCTTGTAAATGAGGCAAGTCAACTGTGGGATTTCCTGAGCTGTTATTCGCTTCATGGTCTTACGTTCTGGCTCCAAACTCAAGTAACTGGAAAGGCCACGTGGCCCCTGTCCTGTGCAGGCCTTGGCCCCTGCGGCAGGCTGGCCCTGCCATACAGCCGGCATGCTTGTCAAGGATGGAATGTTCATCTCCACACAGAGAGGGGGATTATGTGTCAATTGGTGACTTGTCTTCTGTCTCGATGTCTACCTCAGTCTCTCTCAGGGAATCTCTATGTTCTGGATCAATCACACAGAGGGTCTTTGTGCTGCTGAAATAGTTGTGGCCCTCACCCTCCTTTTCAGGTCCTTCAGAATCTTCCTCTTCAAGAGTCAGTTCAAACTGAAATTTCTCCATCAGACCCTGGCAGTCTCTATTCTGCTCTTCCAGTGGTGGAGAAGGACTCTGGGGGATCATGCTCTGATACCAGTTCCTGTTATCTTCTAACGTATCCAGAATGTCCTGGGCATCAGGTTGTACCAGATCTGCCCAGGTCTCCCACAGTGGATGGACGATGTAGTCAATGAAACCAACCTGGAGAAAAGCAAGGTTACACATCTGTTATTCTCATGGGCCTTCAAAAGTCACACAAAAACATGGTTTCCATGCAAAGAAAGAGCAACAACAATTTGAGAGGGATCGCTAATAATGAATTCTATAATATGAGCACCTACAATAGGCTATGTCCTACACAGGACACAATATATGCACGATGGCTCTTCATCTCCCCAAAGTAAATACTGTTAACCACATTTACAAAGAATGAAACTAAGACTCAGTAGGATTAAATATCTTGTCAGACGTCACAGAACCAGTAAGTAGTGGTGCTAGGACTCAGTCCCAGCTCAGTCTGGTTCCAAAGCCCACATTTGTCTCACTACAACTGATTACTTTTCCTTTTATGTTTGCAAGATAAGAAGTCTGTATGTAACTCCAACTGGGAATAACTCTGTCACTACTTGGATTCTGTGAGTCATTCTCTGATGAAGGAAGCCCCAGGTTTAATGAGCTTTGACTCAACATTCTTTCCCTGATAACTTTAAAATGTGCCTCTGTTCCAAAATTATGGGGAGCTGGTCTTTGACTACTTTGAAATTTCCCAAGTTCTGTGGGATGCTTTTGGTTTGTAGGGGAGTGTGGTAAAACACTTCAACATACTTTGAGTCCCCAAACAAATAACCCCTCTGTGGACACATCTGCAATTGTTTCAGATCCATAGGATGCAGTTATTTTCATCAGGAGAAAGAAGGGAAAATAAAAACAATCAAGCAGTTCCTTTGCTAGTGTTCCTGTGAATAAATACTAGACTTGTGGTTCTGTTATGGTTTACATGGTGGTTATGCATCCTGCATGAGTGGGCTCTGTGGCCTTATGCTGACCTCTCTTTTGTCGGACAAACAGGAAATGTTGGGAGTGGGGGCAGGTTGAAAGAAAGAATAGGTACTAGTCGAATTAGAGAATGGAATTCCCCTGTCATGGTCTAGGCTGCTGGAGAGATCCTGGGTCCAGATTCAGAAGGAGATGAAAAAACGTGATTTACTAGCACCCATGGCGCATTATTATATAGCTACCTTTCTGCACTAATGGAAATTTTCCTTTATCACCATTCTGGTTTTGGGCCAGCATTTAACACATCAAAGTCGTACCACATCAAAGAACCTTAGTCACATGTCACTACTCTTTTCTATCTATCTATCTATCTATCTATCTATCTATCTATCTATCTATCTATCTATCTATCTATCTATCATCTATCTATCCATCTATGTATCCACCCACCCATCTATCCATCTATCTTCTATCATCTTTTTCCTGGTGCTCCCCTAGTATTAACAAACAGAATTCACACCAAAGTTGGGCATCTCTGACCTGCATTGGCTATAAGAACTTGATTGTGGATGATTCAGATATTTCTCTTGCTTTCACGCACTAGTTTGCCCTTTTTTTCTTCTTTTATGCTTGTTCAATGTATTCTAAAGACTATTTTCAAAGTGTTTTTTTTTAAAGATTTATTTATTTATTCATTCAGAACTGGGGTACAGGCCAGAGATGTGGAGGGTGAGAGGATTCACCAGGGACAGAGTGGGGAGCAGAACAGGCAGATCGACAAAGTACACTGCTGAGGGGAG